TCTAGAAGGCCAATTTTTTTAATCCACTGGCTTATTTAGGTATCAAGAAATTGCTTTGTAATTTACATCAACAGGAAATTCACTTCAGTAGCTGTGAATTTATACTTCGTACATTGCACAGACATAAGCCTTTTTTCCTGTTGTTACTTGTGATTAACTTGAATGAGGTTACTAGGGGGGTGGTTCTTTGCATTTGTGGTACACTGTTTCCTAATGAATCTAGAGTGGTTCTTCTTTACCTGGGTTACATGCACCTCCTGGGGTTGCGAGATGCTCTTTCTGGCGCAAGATGTGCCAAATTTACCTGTACCTTTCTAAAACTAAGGACGGGCATGTACTGTTAGTAAAGTACTATGATTAAAGGAAGGTATTTTAAGGTAAACTTAATGGAAATAATTATCTTTCATTCTGTAATTATGATGTATTCTAGGTTTAAACTGACTGACCGATGATTTTTGATAAGGGGTGCAATAACATTTTGGTGCAAGTTACAGTAAAAAGTTAAGAACCACTGTTCTGGGCGATGCTCTTAGAAATGACTTGGCAAAGGGAGTTGGATAAAGGTGTCTTACTCTAATTTTTTTAGGGTCAAGGAAGGATACAGTTTACAGAGCAGTTCAGATATGTACTTTATTGTGCGATGGAGGCCAAGCGTGTCACATTGGGCTAGCACTTAAGACTACTTAGTCAATTTCTGTTCTACATTGTAAAAGATACAAGAGCATTCTCCTTTGGGTTGCAAAGTTGTGAGGAAATTAGATAAATGTTTAAAAAATACCATATTTTCCAAATTACACTTTTAATATAGAAGACCACAGTGGTTACAATACATAGTGAAAGTTGCTATAGCATATTTTACAAAAATTACTTTGAAATTAGTCTTACTAGATCTTACCAGTGAGACTGCAAGCCAGTTTAGATATTGACCATCAAGCTCTGAAAATTGCTTTTGGATGTCTTTTTTTTAAGCCTTATTCTTATCATGGCACATTCTTAAAAACATATTTCATGTTTCTTTTTCAAACAGCAGATAATGATGTTAATATCACTAGGCTTTCTGATATTTACATATTACATACGTTTAAAAACTTTATAGTATGCTCTTGGTTTCAGTAGTGTGGGTATCAAAATGTTTTATCTTGTTTCCGTCTTTCTTATGCATGTACCACAGATACCTATTTGAACTTTTTGATGTCAGCCTTATGCTGAAGCAGATGTAAGTGTACTAGAATGTGGGTTTTGTGCATGCTAAATGTCTGTTAGTATTCATTTTCATACTATATATAACATGAGTGTGTGAAAATGGCTGAATGAATTGACTTGTATTGCTTGCTGAAAAGTATGAGGAATTTAGTATAGATTGAAAAGAAATGTGATTGATACATCGGCTATCTTTTCAAATTGCAGAATTCTGTTTTGATACAGAAGTACTTCTGCCTCTCAGGAGCTTCATGGAATTGATTCTAACAAGTCAAATGGACTGTTTTTGATTTTGGAATTGGAAAAAATGTTTTTATTAGTATTACAACCATAAAAATAAAGGAGTTTAGTAATAGTAACACAAGAAAATAGTGGTGTATTTGAACATGTTCTGAAGATGATCAAGAGCACCGGACTACACTGTGTACACTGCACGTTTTGCACTGTCAAAATGTAATACTACTACACGCCATAAGAACAAGTTCTGCAATTTGATGTGATTTAAGAGTGTCCCATTCTTCACCCAGTCTCATTATATATATATATTTTAGGCTGCAGTCAGATCTGCCTACAACAGATGCCAAGCCTCATACTGTTAAACAGCTTGGACCCAGATTTATTCTGTGGTTTTCAACACCTAACAAAGAAGAATATCAGTTTCCTGTTTAATCTTGCATCTTGCTCTCCTGAAGGCTTCCCCTGCCATTTTACCAATTTACTGTAAACATACAAGACACATTCACTCAGGCAGTGCTGACCTTGAGCAATTTATTCTTTATATTATAATGTTCTGTCCCTTCCATTTCCTTAGTATTTGTTTTGAATGCTTATGCTCTTTTTCTTCCGTCATAATTTGGTTCAGTTGGAGGGAAACGTCTATTTTTGCTGCATCTTTGTTTTTCTCGTACATTTTGGAGTACCACTGCAGCTGATTATTACCCCATTTGCTTTACATAGCACTTTGGGGAGGTTGAAATAGAGCTCATTGTGAAATTGACTGCTTTAATTTCTTAAGACACATTTTTGAGCTTCAATTTCTCATTTCAGTGGCAGTAGTTTGTTCATCAAGAATTTGTTCTTGATTTTCTGAGAAATTCAGACTGACTTGAGTTTACACCCTTATGTTTTCTGAACTTTCTAAGCTGTTTTTTATTTTTATTTCTTTATTTTATTATTTAATTATTCCAAATTATTTTTGATTTGAAGCCTTTGAATATAAATGTGTGTTATGCTCTTCAGAGTTTAAGAATCAACCCATGCAGTAAACCTTGACATTTAGTTTTCTCTTTTGAATTTAAGTATATATTTTCATAACAATATATCTGTAAATTACATGCCTGGGCCTTGTAATTTCACGCTTTAAAGTCAGTTAAGTGACAAGTGCTTCTTTAAATGAGTCCATTTAGTGGATTGTTAACTATTGATACAATGCCACCCCGTATAGATCAGTGTGTGCTTAAAGATGGAGTCTTGTGCAGACAAGTTTATTTTTTAAAGGGGTGGAGGTAGGTTTGTTCCCAAATGTTTCCTTGGTGAAGTAAAAACATCTGCAAAAATCTAGACAGTGGTGATTTCAGCATCAAAGGAAATGATCTCTGATTAAGATGATGATAAACTGAAGTAGACAGCACAGCTGTACACAGAAAATAGTCCACATTGTGTATATCTTGACTCTGAGGTCATAAATATTTTAATTTGGCATCGGTGAGATGCCTTTCTTTTGGTGACTGAACTGCTTTCAGGTGCTTGGAAGGAGTGCCTTTGGTGGTAAAGTAACAGTGCACTTTGGATTCGCAGTCTTTTATTTGTATTTTTTTTTAATTTGATGTATTTGCTTTTGCCTTTTACATTTATAAAGTTATTTAAAAGACTTTAAAAGGAAAAAGTTGTCTCAGCTGTATAATGTAAAACATGTTATGTTCACTAAGTAATATCTTTTTTTTTTCTATTAAAAGCTGTGAAAAATCTAAATAAAAGAGATGTAAGGAGGTGAAAAAACGTTTGGCTCAAAAGATTCATAGTTGCCTTTCTTTTTAAATGGGTAGCATTACAGTACCTTGTCACCACATGGCGTATTATATTCCAGGATTTTTTTAAAATAAAAAGCTAATTGACAAGTTAGAGTTAAAAAGTTGATATTAGTAATTTCTAAGTTTAAATCTGTGAAAGAACAAGTAGGTGAGCAAAAACATAAAATCTGAAAGTACAGAACACTATTATAGTATATGATCTTAACGGTGTGAATAGGATGAGAGCTGTTGTCATAGTACATACTCTTAGGGCTCTGAAAAAAGTGTCATCCAATCATACTGGTAGTCTTTTGTATATCTTTGTGCTTCCTTTAAAATGCACTGGTATAGAGTCTCTATACATCCTATCGGGATGAGTGAAAAACTAAGCTTGTTACCTTTACTCAGGAATACTGTATGGCTTGTACACATGATCTGCTACATATTGTGAAATCACTAATTTGTCTTGGGTTTTAACATAATTTTGCTTTACTGAAATTCATGTCTAAAATATGTTGACTGTTATGTAACATTTTTCCAGGGGGAAATGGAGAAACATTTCCTTAGTGCTAAAAAAAATTGCACCTTAATTTGTGTGTGAAAGGGTTGATACTCTACATGTTGCCTCTTGTTCAATAAAATTAAAATTAAGGTTACACTGTGTTTTGCAATAACTGGAATGATTATTTTTCTGTTGAAGTAACTTTTTGAAAGGCCCCTCTTTACTTTTTACTCAATAATGAAAGGAGGCTTTGCTTGGAGTCTTCTCAGTGATATCTGTCTCTTAATATATGGATTAACTTCATTTATCTTGGTCAGTAGAGGAATGTACTTAACTATTTCAGTAACACTACAGTCTGTCCATGCCTTGCATGAGCAGGACAGCCTCTTCTTATCAGGGAAAGAGACTTCCCCTTGTGGCATGCTGATCTGTCAAAAATCAGAAAATAACGTTTCTCCTCATACAGTTTCCATACGAGGGTGTCCCAGTCCTTCAACCAGGAAAGCAAGCATAAATCCCATTTTACAGCAGCATGGTCTGTCGGGTCTCGCTTTCATTGTGATCTAAGCCTGCTCATCTAATATGAGTCACTTGTGCGTAAAGGTGCTTAGGTGTAATTCCCCTTATATTCAAAGCACTTCCTTTACAGTATGTGGGTAAAGAAGGGTAAGTGCACATAATTAAACAGTTTTACTCAAAGTACCTAGATGACAGTACTAGACAAGCAAAAACCATGAACGAATCTGGAAACAAGAGTTAAATTTTTAACTTTTCAAAAGAATGAAAAATGCATTTACATTCAGCTATGAATCAAAGGTGATATTTTTTTACATCATTTTGTATTGGGTGCAGTTTGTGAATAGGGTGTTTTGTCCCCTCTTGTTACTGTATTTTTTCAATTCAATTCAACTTTGTCATTAAACTTACACAGGTGCGTAGTATAATGAAAAGTGTTTCTCATTAATCACTCAGGTGCAGTTTATAAATGGGACCATAAATAATGGTCCATAGGACCAAAATAAATTTTGGTACAATTTCACTATTATTGGCAACCACAGCCTTATCTTCAAGGCAGGAAGTAACTCTGGATCTCAAGGAGGAAGTAATTTTTAATTTGAATATTTAGTGCATGCTAACAACATAAACTCTTAATTTGCTGACCTACTTGAATTGAGATTCTGGATAACACAGAAAATCAAAGCACTGCACAAAGTGTTAAGTTATGGCTGAAAGTAAGTGTGCAAATAAAAAAAGTGTTTCAAGACATTTTTCACTTTCTGTTTCTGCAGGACTCCCCTCTGTTCGAGCTTCTCCGACAGTCCAGAGAGCAGGAGGGTGCAGTGGAGCAGGCTGAGCCTCCTGGGATGCTCAACCAGCTTCTACAGCATGACCACACTGCCGCAGACCTGTGAGTTTTCCCCATTCACCAATCCTCCTGGCCCAATTGTCCGTCCAGCGCTACTGAGCACATGTTCCTATTTCAAATGGCAAGGGGATCAGACCCTTCTGGGAAGTGTGGCACAGATATAAGAATATTACTTCTGTTCTGTGTCTAGATGTAAAAGGTAAAGGCTGATATAGAAGAGAACAACTTGTTTCTTCTTGTAGCTGGATCCTTGGCAGTGTTAGGCTGGGGAGGGTGTAGAGAAAATCTAGCATGTGCTCCAGTTAAAGAAGAGCTCAGATGTTTGCTAGCTGCTCTGGGCACTACGCAGTCTTGAAGAGCAAGAAGATCCAATAGCGTTACCAGCTTGAAGGCAGGCTGTTCATAGAGGGAGAGGTGCTTCTGCACAGACGTCTTGAGGGCAGGTATCAGTTGGACATTGTACTTTGCAGTGGAGTTGCCCAGCAAACATTTGAGTCCTATGATACTAGGAATGACAAAGATATACTAACTCTAATGGGAAAACGTCAGTGAATGTACTTTTGAACTGCTATACAAGGATTTGTCATGGTCATCAAAATGGATTGCATTATTGTGAGATAAGAGTTCCATTAAAAAGCAGCTAAATCTTGGCTTCTCTATCCAAATAGCCAGCTGCAAAGCTGCTGGTTGTGTTGTGGATTACTTTCATGCGAGAATGCATTTGAAAGGGCGTTCTGTGATTTTCGATTCTAAGATTGACCATTTTTCATAATGAGCTGGATGACATGAGCAAACAAACGTTTGTTATCCAGGAGAGAATCAAGGGTTTCTGAAACGGCAACGGCAGAATGAACTGCTTGTTAAACTCACCACTCTTGTTCTAATTTGTCTGTACACCTTACAATTGAAAATGTGTTCAGAATTTTTGGAAAATGCAGGAACATGCAAAGCCACATAAAGTGTGCTGCCCAGGACCAGGAGTATTCATCTCAGATGCAGTATTTTGTGTTTGCCATTGTCCTGGAACTATTTCACCAGAAAATGAGCCTCTGATATACAATGGGAAAGGACAGTTCAGGTGAAGAACCTGATCTTAGGAATTTCAGTAGTTGAGCTTAATGTAAAGCTTTGTTGTGTTCAACATATTTCTAGGCCGGTTTTGAAGGATCTTTTCTTCAGTAAATAAACTACACGCAATAAGAGCTACACAGTAATTCCAGCATAGCTGACTTTGTCATTTAGAGAGACTTTTACGAAGAAATAGACAATTATCCTTTTTATAGTTGTTATCAATGTAAACTAGTTAACTGCATTTTCCCGTTAACATTGGAAAATTAAAAATAAAAGATTATTTCTTCAGCCAAAACATTACTGGCATGGCATATTGCAGCATTGCAGTTTCAGTATTGAAAAATACGTAGTGTGGGGTGTGAATTGTTACTTTTTTCCCCAACAGTTTATTTCCAAAAGAGTAAGAACCTATTCAAATTTGAAAGTCAAATGAACGTTTTTGTCTTTTTTCCCCAAAGTAGGCATTGAAAGGTCGCTTAACTTATGACTGATGTGCCACATCATACGTGCAGACATTTTGCGGTTTTTCACACAGCTGCTTGAGTTGTGAATTTCTAATACTCGCATTCCTCCAGTGGGACTGACCCACTGAAAATACTTGTTTGACGTACTTCATCAGTGTTATCTATACTAGGCCAGGAGAAGCAAAGTCAGCAGTCTTGGGTAATGTGATGTAGAAACTTTATTTTAAAAAAAGTTTTTCTTTGAGCACTCTCCCATGTAAATATGATCAGTATAACCCATTACATATCAGAGTTCATTCTGTATTTCTCACATTAAGTGGTTTAAATCTTGTACAAATGAATGGGCAAAAACAGTTGCTAACAGACCCAATTATTTAAACCTCAAATCATTTTTACTACTTGTAACATGAAGATGGGTGCGCTAAAGTAAAGAAGTTTATCTAGGCTGTCAGGAGCACTGTCCTTCAGGTTGATGGAGGTCTGGTTTGTTTATGCAGACACTTGATGTTTAGCTTCATGTTCAGAAAGGAGAGGATTACTTCAAATGAAGGGCTCTGAAACTGTCATTTCTCTAGTACTTAAAGCCCTCGCTCAGATGAAGCCATTGTATATGGATACTACCTGTGCAGTTAAAGAGATTGTATGGGCAGATTGTGAAGTCTGTCCTGTATGTCTTTGATTGAAGATATAAGAGACAAGTCTCCAGTCTCAGCATAAAAGCTTCATAACTGTTAAAAGCACATTCAACAACCTTTTACTCAGAAATATTAGACATTTTTTGTAGGTGAGTAATGTTCATATGTTAGATGTGAAAATAATTCAGCTTGCATTACTTAAACTAATTACTGTTATATAACACTTAAAATAACATCTCAATAATTACCATTACTCGATCAGTGAGCAGTTCACATGGAATGTGTATAATGGCTTTTACTCAAGGTTGAAGGTTAGTGTTGAGTGTAAACAGATAATAAAGAACTCTTATCAAAAGCGTCATTACAATATGTATACGTGACTACAGCACAGTATCAGTGAGTCTAACAAAGTTTTATTGGCTTAATGTGCTACCTTCATATTAATCGGAATGATGCGTAGGAGCTAAATGCATTTTATGGCATTCCGGCACAGCTGTGAGTCATTCAAACTTAAAAACATAACTGACTCAGGTAATTGCAGAGTGTGTAGATTTGATACAGCTTTCCCTGTATCCAGTTTCAGCTGGACCATTTTATATTTTAGGCATCCACATTTGCAGATTACTTCTTAGCACACAAAAATTTAAATGAGCCATTTACTGATAAGCTAGTAGGAATGGAAACTCACCCTTTGCATTTCAGTTGACATCGCTGAAAATAAGCAGTTCAGACAGGAGGTTGGAGAAATTCATTCAGGAGGTTTTGTCCCAAAACATTGGATTGTTAACCAGTTCTGTGCTATACTGGTGTTTGACAGTTGACAGTTTCCAGTTTTGGTTATCATGTATCCACACATCAGAAGTCTACACAGAATATGATGAATCGCTACCTTAGTCCTGAGCTAAGGTGAATTGGCCACAACCCCATCCACGGCCGAAACGTTGTGTTCTCTACCTCATTATCGGTGAGAATGCCAGAGCTGACAGGTGTTTCCCGGCCTCTTAGGTACCTGTCCCCAGTGCGGTCTCCCTGGAAGAAGAGCCAGTCGGTCGCCAGCAGTGCTTCCCAGGGAGCTGATGCTCAGACGGGCCCCTCCAGCCAGTCTCAGACCTCCTCTCACAAACACCTCAAGTCTACCTCACTCTCTCTCTTCTACAAGAAAGGTATGTTCCATTCATTTTCTGTCATCTTGCCCATGATTTCAGAAAGTCTTCACAAGTCTACCTTGCAAATAGAAACTGGATGCATGTAGTAATGAGAGATTTGTGATTGTGAGAAAATATTTGGAATTGAAATATTGCAAAGCAACTTTCACATTTGAACTTTTTGACCATATTAAGTTATCTTCTTTTTGGCTGCTGCTTAATTTTGTTTTAGAACTCCAATCCTAACAAAAGTGGTTACTTTTTTGTAAAGCTTCATTTTCCATTCAGTCTTAAATATACCAAGATATTGGCAAATCCAATCAGCATTTAATATATGTTAAATGTGGTTTGAGTAAGTCAGTTGAATTCCTGTTCCTGAATGTGTAATGTGTACAACTATCTTTTTCATTTTTCCTGTCTCTTTGAGGTGCAGTGTGCATGATGGATGGTTGTCATTATCACAGTCTATTAGACATGTTTAAATAATTTCAGCTACTTTTGTATCAGCTGTTAATACTTTCTTTGCTTTTTGATCCTAATAATTCTGGCATTGCCTATAAGAAAGTGAATCCCAGGGAAATGTAATACTTAATGTCCTTTGCAGAATTCATGTGTGTCCTCCCCACTTCCATTTCTCATTTAAATATATGGGAGTTTCCTTTAAAATCCTTGCCCCATGCTGATTGGTTCACATCTCAGCTAAATGTGATTGTTCTTGTGTGATTAGCCACTGTCATGTAAAGATTTCCTGTGACCAAAAGTACCCGAGAAATACCATGTGTTGTGTTTGCAGATTATCATTTGTACTTTTTCAGCATTGCATTATGCAGGTAGGATTCCTAAGAAAAACCCTGATTTTTGTTCTGCTCTTCGGTTTCTTTATCAAAGACATTTGAGCTCATTATGGATGGAGCAAGTGCTGTTAATGCCAGTGAAATGTGTATCAACAGGAACAACAATTGGTTCAGTAGCTTTTTTGCTACTATCCTATCTACACATTGGCAACATTAACTCACTCAGCTCCATGCATATCTCACTTAGTGTTCCTGAGAATATTCAGTTGGGACTGGCTTTGTTGTTAAGACCAGTGTTGAAATTTCAGGATCTATCAATGGTGGAATCCTGGAAACTGCAGCCTTGAGTTTCCAGTTTTTGAGGTTCTTAAACTTGGTCATAAGACAACTTGTTTATAAAATGCCATAGTTACATTGTCTTAAGAGATTGATTGTCACCCATGGACTTCCGTCTGTCACCTTTAATCTTCCAGTGTATCGCCTGGCCTACCTGCGTCTGAACATGCTGTTCTCCCACCTGTTAAAGGACCACCCTGAGCTGGAGCACATCATCTGGACACTGTTCCAGCACACACTGCAGCATGAACACGAGCTGTTGAAGGACCGCCACCTGGACCAGGTATCTCACACCCAGCCTGGGACACTGCTGGTGTTCTTGCAGCTCTACAACAGCTCTACAGCAAAAGCATGTCTTCACATCTTAGAACGTGCAAACATGAGGGGGAATGTGAGAAATTTCCATTCCTTTCTTGTGGCGTGTAATCACTCTTAATGTTCTGGTCAAAGTTGCAGCTGCTTTAAGTATTCATCATCTTGGTCACTTACATTCATATATTGGGTTTACTCTTGGTAATTAATATTGGGCAGCCAGTTCATGGAAATGTATGGAATCTGCAGTTTATTCCTAGAAGTAGAAAATAGTGTACTTATTTAATGGCATATAATACATGAATTACATCTTTTATATGGATATTTAAAGATATCCATATAAAATATTAGTGAAGAAAATGCAATTAAAGTGATTTTCAAAATAAAAAACAACTTTTACTAACATCCATTCAGTATATATACACTTCTGTGGTCCGTTTGCTGTTATATGTATGTATACGTTTCCTTAATGTTTTTTTTTTGTTTTGTCTTTGTTTTTCTGTCTTTGTTATGTTTTACTGCTTGCTGCTTAAATTGCCCTCTTGGGATTAATCAAATACAGTATATTGAATTAAGAAACTCATTTTGAGAAGGACTTTTAATTTTTTAACAAAGCAATACCATAAGAGACTAAACTCCTTAAGTCCAGTTAAAAATGTTCCTCATTTTGGCTTTGTAAGAGTCACTGGCCTCCTACCTTTCACAGATCATGATGTCAGCCATGTATGCAATCTGCAAGGTGAAGAACATCGACCTGCGGTTCAAGACAATTGTCACAGCCTACAAAGAGCTTCCCAACACACACCAGGAGGTAGAACAACAGGCTGAGTTTTTAGTTACAAATATTTATTTTAAACATTCTTTCCGCAGGACTACAAGGATAGAGGGTCTTACCTACAGGGATTTGTTTTTTTAAACTTACCCGATCAGGTCAACTGGTAATGCATTAGAGACCACTGTTTTAAACATAGAATACAGGGGATGTATTCTTGACCCCCGTTTTTCTGTTCCTATCATGGACCATACCAGCAAACTGCTAGTACAATTAACACAAAGAAAAATATTTTTTTATTGTCATGTTCATTGCATTATTGGGTGGTGAGCGTTCCACAGTGACAGCAGCAGTGTGTGATGAAAGTCTTTTATCAGTTCGTATATTTTGAGGTAGATTATGGCCAATAAAAATAATACAGACCGTTTTATAAGCCATGGAACAAAAGCAGACTGCGCAAGATGCTTATTTTATTTTATGTAGTAATGAGAAAAATTGTGAATTTTACTGTTGTGCTATATTTGAAAAAGCTCCACACTAAAGCGGATTGGGAAACTAAAGATGTGGTTTCCGCAGAAATCATGGAGGTTTAATGAAGACATTTTATAGCTATTTATAAATAGGCTAAATGGGTTGTAAAGAACTTCCAAAACCATGTAAAAGGTATACTTCAATGAAATGTTTTTTTTTAAATCAACACTGCATCATATTATTGTTTCACAATGTAATACTTTCATTTTCAAAAACATAGACTACAGTCCTGTGAGCTTGTTATAAAGTAGTTTGCTTAATATTTCAGTTTGCCAAACTTTGCTTTTTATGCTTTTGCATTTCATTTTTCCAGTGTATGACCAGGGACTGCTGCAGCAAGTTTAAATTTAATATATAGCAGAACATTTCACAAGTCTAAACGTTTGATCCCTTGTACCTCTGATTCTGGGTCACCCCATATGGCTTCAGTAGGATTCTTGTTGGGATTTTGTATGCTTTTGATCGTTCGATGTAAAAGCTGTAATTAAATTAATACAAATGGAAATAATCAAGACTTTTGCAAAGCACTGCAGTGAAATTTTTTCTCCTCTTTTACCAGACGTTTAAACACGTGCTGATTCGGGAAGGCCAGTATGACTCCATCATTGCATTCTATAACCAGGTCTTCATGCAGAAGCTGAAAACCAACATCCTGCAGTACGCCTCTCCCAGGGTAAGCACAGGAATCATGAGAGCTTGCTGAGCCCTTCCTTCCCTACTGATACGCTTCTCACCTGCAGATGCACCAGGGCCACCCTTACATCTCCAGAGCACTGTAATGAGGAAACTTACTCATGTTTTCATGACTTATGTGCGATTTCATCTTTGTGTCCAAACAGATGAACTAGTGTGTGACTGTTCAAATCCACATTACTTGTGTCTGCATGTATCCGTTATCACTGTCGTTGGCATTTTCTTCAGGAAAAAAATGGAACACTGAATTATGTTTTAGAACAAGTTCATTGAGGGTTTTGTAAAGTGTCTGGCCACTGCCCCTTTGGAGCACTGATTTTATCTTAGATTTTTAGTTTTTTAACATTGTCAGTATTTGTAAATATAATTATTTGCAATACAAAGAGTTTTAATTCATGACTGACTCATATGTGGCATTTCAACATAATAGTATCCCATGAAAGATACAACTAACTTAACCTCTGCTTTTACAGCTGTTGACAAGATATTTAACTTTTTTAGCCACCTACGCTCTCCCCAATCCCGCACATCCCCTGCAGCCCCTACAAATTCTCCAACTCCCCCCTTCGAGTGCCTGGGAGCAACAATGTGTACGTCTCCCCCCTGAAGAGTGCCCGCATGTCGCCCAGCGTCATGACCCCTCGCTCCAGGTCAGTGGGCGTCTAGGTTACAGACGTCTGAAATGGGCCTTTGCTGTTGAGTACTGGATTATTGCCAGTGAGGCAATTCCAATAAACTAATACCTGCTAAAAACTACAGAACTAAAATGACCAATTGAGAATGAAATGAGACATTATAGGCAAGACTGGTTGTGTTAATGTATGAAACATATGTAGCAATATACAGTATAGGAACAAGTAATAGGTTTATTCCATGCTGAAAAAAAGAAAAGAGAAAACACAGCGTTTCGGCCGTGAAGCCTTCTTCAGGTGTGAGCTACCCACCTGAATAAACAGTATATTCCTTTTAACTGATAAGCAATTTTCTGTTCTAGCACTGCTGCAGTTAAGTATGATACCGTGTTCCACTTATATGACAGTATATGTTAATGGCTTTTTTGTGATGTTCTGATCCTCAGGATCCTGGTGTCCATTGGGGAATCCTTTGGGGTGAGTACCTTTTCAGATATCGGCGCAGTTTTAGCTTTTTATGCAGTATGTAAATCAGCAAATCTAAGGCATCTTCAAGGTAATTACCTAGATATGTAACTGTCAGTTGTGGCTGACGTCCTATGAAAGTTTATTAATCCTCCATAGTGTCTTTTTGTTAGAACTCGTCTTGTTGCTTGGGACCCCGGGGCAGTGTTCTAGCTTGAAGGCTTTACTGCACAGCAACTCCTATCTCACGATGGGTGCTAACTTTAGGATAGGTTTCCCTGTCACCTCAGCCTTCAACAAATGGGCAAACCAAGTCGTGTTAAATGTCTTCATTTTAAAATTTGGAATCACCAATTTTGTTTTTTGTTATCCCATCTAATTTCAAATGGCCAAATGTGAGTTTCTTGCGTCTCAGCATACAAGTACAACAAGCAGAGAGGAAAACGAGGCAAACCCTCCCATGTTCAGCCTACTCATCCTTTAATACATCCCAGGCAACATAGTCCCATGCTGGGAGTTTCAGTGTGACCCTCACCAACCACACCATGAGCCTTTGCCGATGGGAATCTAGACTTATCCCAACATTTCCCTTTTGACGCTCAAGTATTTGTGTGCCTTCACTTGGGAAATCCTAGTCATTCAGCTAGTAGCATAAGCCAGGTTCAAGGATTTTGGGAGATGATGGTCAAAAGAAGAAAAAGCACAAGCAGTCTATGACAGAATATACAGAAAACTAGGGGGGAAATCCAATAGAATTCACACTGGTGTAGAATTTAAATTCCCAATATTGATGTAGTGAAATAAAGATAAACTGTAAACGGTGTTCAGACCTTCAGGTCATATTATTTTTGCGTTCTGTCACAAACATGCTACGCTAAGGCCTCTCCTCAGGACAATGCCCTCAGTCAAACAGTTGCACAGCACCCCGATGACCCTTATTGATTGATTGTGCTTGTGCCTCCTTCCTTCCAGACTTCAGAGAAGTTCCAGAGGATCAACCAGATGGTAAGCAGCAGTGACTGGTCTCTGAAAAGAGGACTGGAGAGCAACAGCGCTCCCAAGCCCCTCAAGAGACTGCGCTTTGACACGGACGGCCAAGACGAGGCTGACGGAAGGTAATGCATCTGCACAGGCGTCTGCCTTCCACATTCGTGTGGACACAGTCCTGCTCCGTCAAAGCCATCATCGCCTCTTTACAAGTGACTGTACACGCCAGGTCATGTTCAAGAATTCGCAGGATGAATGAAATAGGTCAGAACTGGATCGGTTAATCCAACACTCTGCCATTAGGGTGGGCTTCAGTTTTTCTAAAGAACTCCAGCACCTACACAAGAATAATATGATGAGAAATAAAGCCTGATATTTTTTATGAGGGTTAGTCGAACTGCTGTCGACAACTTTGACAGTTTATTACAAACTAATTACATGGCTTACTGTAACAAAAAAGGTTTCAAATGAAAGCATAAATATCAACGTTTCTACCAGTTACCTTACAATCCTTCGCCATCTGTGGAGGAGAAAACAAAACTTTAGTAAAATAATTGGCATTTATACTTGTCAACAACATTTTGACTAGCCCTGCATAACTATAGCTAGTGTATGATCTACCCAGATTCCTTATTTCATTCACAATGGCAATTTGTTCAGCATCTCGGCATCCAAAGCAACAGCTTGTAGCAGGTTCCACACTCTGCCATCACTAGATGTAAATGTGCTGGATAGGAAAGTTCATAATAGAGTTGGAAAAGAGGCTCTGCAACAAGTCATCATGTCCTGTGCAACAAACTTGCAGTGTATGTTTTTGTGACTTTCTTCCTGGTTTGTTTTTCTTTTACAGCAAATCAGCTGGAGAGTCCAAGTTCCAACAGAAGCTTGCTGAAATGAGTGTGTTATTTTTTTCTGTTTTGGAAATTTTATTTTTGTATTGTTAGATGAGAGAGATAAGTGAAGGGTTTAAGCAGAATACCACCATCCTTAAACCATAGAGCAGACCCAATTATGACTAGTGCTCCTCTCAGGTTGAGATTATTCTTTCACTGAAAACCTTTCATGTAAATCAGTCCACTATCTTTGTTTTAAATCACTTAGTATTACTCATCAACTGAATTTTAATTGAGTGCCTGCCTGCCTTTTGTGTTGCATACAAGTTGAGGAAAACGAGCAATGCAGATTAAAAGGCTGATGTTTATATTTGTTGTAAAATTGGGTAGGTCTAACAAATAGCATCACACAATCCTCGTAAAAAAAAATGTACTCAGTTTATGCCTGTGTAGACCAGATGGTTGTTTTTAAATCTGTTATTCTGAAGTTGGATGTGTTTTGTCTGCAGCTTCCACTAGGACCAGAATGCAAGAACAGAAGCTAAAAGATGCGGCTGTAGACTCTTTGAAAGAGGAGAAGCACTGAGACTGTCACCACCTCAGGAGATCCCTTTGCCCCATTTTTACACAAAACAGAAACTCCATTTAAAAAAACTTTTTTGTACATTTGAACTGTGTAATAATTCTGGTGATTTTTTAAAAAAAAATTAGACTTGCTTTTTTATTATTTTAAATGCATTTCTGCTTGGGCAGAAATTTGAGGGGTTATTTTTTAATTTATAGTATATTGTGTGGCTTTTGTTCCCCCAATTGTTTGCATTTTGTTTTCTTGAAGGTTTTGATGTTCTTACTGACAGTTGTGTGTGTAGAACCTTATAGAGTAGATTCTGAAAGCATTATAATTTTTTAAATTATTGTACTGTAATTATAAGCCATTTTCTTCCTGTGCTTGAAAACACATGGACCACATTGTTCACAAACTCAGTCAGTCTTTTGTGAACATAAGAATTTGACACTAGTAAACATTAACCAAAATGTGACTCTTGCTATACAGGGCTATACCAGACGATCTTAAATTTTGTTCCTTTTTTTTCCTGCACAACCCATAACTACTGTAGGACAAGTGTACAATTTACAGTTTGACTGCAGTTTGAATATTTACTAATTTATTTTTCTATGATAATTTATTAAGCTCAGGTAGAGAGCCAGACTGTGCCAGGAGTGTTCTCTCGCATCTGATATAAAACAGTCTTGACATCCGTACTTCGTTATTTACTGTCCCTGCAGCTAGATGCAAGGCTTTGCAGTAATTAAACTGAATGGTATTAGTCTAAGCAATGATATATTACAAGCCTTATTGTAGTCAGCAAAGGATGAGAAATTTGAAAATTTTGAAAAAAACAATACCTTGATCACAGAGTATGTATAGATTTGAAATGAGGTCATCCATCTCACCTATCCTGTCTCCTACTTTCCGAAAAAAATCTCTTAATCTAGACTAATAAAGAAAATAAACCCAGTTGAGTAAATGAGATCTGAATGAAAATCAAAACAGCCCATACCTCTTTAAGACCAAGTTTGAAGACCCCCTATGTAAAGCAGGATTAAGATGCTGCTTTCATGAGGAGGAAAACAGGAATGGAACTTTCCCCTGAAATTTTAATTCCCCTTTTCCACAAAACTTTTGAAATTACCTGTCTGGTTTATTGTTGAAATAGACTCATTTCTACAATAATAAATTGTAATCTGTGGTCATTTGTTACAAGTGGGGTTAAATTTATATGTGACAATTGTTTGAGTCAATGAAACACCTTTTGTATAAGTTTTCCTTTAAGGTACAGGAATAAAAAGGAGTTATGTAAATCTGCTACTAAAATTGCCTGTTTTGTGTCTTGATGATGATACAATACTAAGCATCAACTACTAAATAACTGGTTAGATATAGAGAATTTGAGATTTTAACATTTCTGAAGACAAGACGAAGGCTTGTGATGTGTCCATAGTACTAGTTAAATAAGAGGTTATTCTGAATATCATGTTCTGTACATGAAAGCAGTTATTCAAACATCCAGCTGTGACTTTACACACTGGATCAGTAGGATGATTTTCAGTCAGACTGTACCAATATTGTTTAATATTTCTGAGTTATAAAGAGCTTCAAAAATTGGTTGAGCTTTTAACACAGGGGTGTGTAATTGCCAATAATTGTGCAACTGTGTTTAATGTTCACCTTTCTATTTAAAATACGTTTTATTTTCTTAATTAGAATGTTTCTTAATATAAAGCCACTCACCAAGACCTTTGTGATCAATAGATATTGATAGAAAGTTTTCCTGTATGTAAATCTATTTATTGGTCCTAAAATATAAACCTATTTTTGATGGCATGTCAGTTTCTTGCTAGTAAACCTGGGGCCATAAGATTAATTATGATATTGATTATGTATCAGCATAACAGTTTAAATGACATTCAAAATATTCCTATGAAAATGTACAATCTAATGTGAGAAAATGAACGAAATGTAGAATTTAACCATCTCTGTATGCATCAGGGGTCAAGGAGTAGATGATGTGGGTCATAGTTTAAATCTTTTTAGTCCAGCAGTAGGGGACTAACTGTGATCTAAAATATAATCCTTTAAAATACAATCCCCTCATCAACATTGCAGTATGACTTCTGGCCACATGCTTCAGTTCAACAGGTTGTGCAGCAATGCAAGCAAGCAAGGTGTGCAGCACTTCACTGCAACTAAAGCATACTGGCACATGGGATGAGCTTATGTTGGGTGTCCCATTAATTGTGATGGAGGATTGAAATGGTGAACTGACCCTAGATATTTTGTAGAAGAAAATTATTAATGTGAACAGTTATAACTCTTGCTAATCCAGCTAAATGAGGTGTAAGACACAAATGGGGGGAAAAAACACTTTAATTGACTCGGGATGCTCTGTAAGTCATTGCAGTCATTAAAAGTCATTGCAGTTTCAGAAGAGTCGAGTACACCTACATCCCAATGAGCAGGTTAAAGCTAACAAATCAGATTGTCAGCCCAACACCAAAGTATTTTGAAAGTGAGACACCCACAGCAAGAGAGTTTCTGTGGCTATTCTAAATTTACACTCATCTTGAGCAAAAATACCGTGCAGTGTTACTAGCCAATGTAATGCACATGAAAGAAAAGGTTAGGGACTGGAGCACAAATTGATTCTTGTGAATAAGAAGTGCATTTGCTAGCCAGCCCACTAATCATTCAAATCTGGAAATGCAAAGGTTATTTTTGAACTACTCCTTTTTTTAAAATGTCTGTTGACTACATGTATGTATAGGGACAGTTAGAAATTGATAAAATCCCATTATGCCACAAACTTATTTCCATGTGAGCCTTGGTACAGATTTCCCATCTTTTACATCACACAGTTGATCCCCCTCTGTGGGAGGAACACCTGATTCTTTCCAGCTGTTCTTTGCCATTGCAGGTCATAGGGTGGATAACCCTGAAAACAGCCACATGGATGCAAAATGATTTAAATTAAGTCCAAAATCAGGACAGAAACAGATCTGTCTGATCCTCAGATCTGTTAGTGCCCTCCATACACAAAGTTTGTGACGTATGAGGGACAGATCAATTTACTTGCCCTTTATTAACTTATGTTGCCCCTAAGGATACTTCCCCATGCAGTTAAAATGGAAGTGCTGTAATTACTGTATATCTATAACTACACAGAACACCTTGTTTCCTATTGGAAGGAATATGATTGTCAGAATCTACCCAATTTACAATTTCAGTCCATTGTAGATTTTACTTATGGTATACCTCAAGTCTTATAATGAACAAATGACACAATAATTAAAAGATACAATTGCTTTTTTAATCCTTTCAGTTTCAAAACAAAAAAGAACATGCTTAATTGTAAACAAGACTATAACTCCCTTTTAGGTGGGTAGCTGCGTCAGCATGCATAGGCTGCAAAGGAACAAGTAATAGGTTTATTCCATGCTGAAAAAAAGAAGAAAGAGAACACAACGTTTCGGCCGTTCACCTGAAGAAGGCTCCACGGCCGAAACGTTGTGTTCTCTTTCTTCTTTTTTTCCGCATGGAATAAACCTATTACTTGTTCCTTTATAACTCCCTTTGACCAGTATGTACTTGGTTTTGCTGTAAATGTAACACCTTCTTCTAACATTAACATATAAACATTGCATCAAGTAACAATCTGAAATCTTCCTGTACGTACAAATACCAGTGTTCTATATTAAATATATATTAAATAAGTACACAAACAAACTCTCTTTAATAATGTCAGTGCTTACTTACCAAGTTAGTCCCTACAATCTAAAAAGCTTTGATAGAAGCCTGTGCTCACACATGGTTCATATTAACCAACTCTTGTATTTCTCCCATTCTGCATCTACCGTATGTACTGTAAAGAGAGTTGTAACAATATACCAGTTTTTCACATTGCACTGCCACCTGGGCTCTTGACTTTCCCAGACACAGCACTCCAAGTTCCACCACCTTACCAGGAGATTCTAAACATTAATAACCACCCTTCAGGCATGGATTGAAGAACTTTAAAACGAACCAAAAAACGTCACCTGCATGAGTACAGTCCTTGGCCTTATAACTGGTAATGTTTCACAGCACAGTCTGTTCTTCTAGCAAAAGCAGGTTGTCTCTGAATAGCCAATAACAATGCCTTTGATACAGGTCAGGTGCTGCCAATGATTGTACAGTGAATAACCCAAACTACAGAGTGAAACTAAGGATAGGGATGTAGTGATGTTGGCATTTAAACTTGACTATATGGCATTCTGTGACCTTGTAGAATGTTTAGGGATTACTGAACCTTTTTTTTGTAATACCCAGACCAACAGTTCTTGTGTAAGACTACTGCTTTAAACAAATTCTATTTCTACTGAGTATGGCATTATTCTTAAAAAGTTTAGGTTTAAACTAAGCAAACGTTTTCAAGATCAAAAGCATAAATATTGGCCAACTTAAATATGCACAATACAGCAGAGCACATACCTTGACAGCCTCCACCTGTTTAACTACTGTACTGTATGTCTACACAATAAATATGGGCAGCACAAGTGCTTTAGATTCTTAAAGTTATAGGCATCCAACATTATGCTTATAACTTTATGCATGCACATTTCAATATAAAAGAAAACCATTTCATATTTCTATCTTTTTCCACTTGATACCCATTTGCCCTTTGAGGGATACGTACTTGGCCATGACTGTTAACCATCTCTTCCATCCCTAACAAACTTGTTCATCACCGTTGTACAGTCTGGAATAAGCTGCTCACGTGGGAACAATTGCTTAGTATGCAGACTCTTTTGGAGGAGTTCTTTAAGGATACAACTCATACATACATGCCTTTTCATGATTTTCGTCTTGTATTACATTACAAGGAGAAGAAAAACAAGGGAATCATGTAAGCTCCCTTTTTCTAATGACATTTTTTGTCATAATGTCTGAAACACACAACTGAGGAATGTGAGTATGATGAAAAGGGTTTTGTGTTATTGCTCCCTCTGGCAGTGAAGACTGGTTTCAGTTCAGCCCTTGAGAGCACAGTGATTCTTTGGTGTTGCGTGTCTGCTCACCGCTCCCAGATTCATCTCTCTCTCTCCTACTCAGCACTGCACCCTTAGGCTTGGCGTGCTCAGTTCTTGAATGCGCCGTACCTGCTGGCTTTGCTGATGAAGTTCTTCAGCAGGTCATGGTCCATGTCAGCAAAGGCTTGTGTCTGAGTCACCGCAGTCATGTGATTGACACAGAACTTGAAGCAAAACTCTTCAAGGTCCTACAAATGAAGAATTTCCGTTTGAGGAATATTTTCCCGATGATTGATCACAGTTTTTCACTACAGTATCCAAAGGCAACAAGTTGAATAGGGAACGCTGCTTATCTCCCGCTAACACAACAGAACATTGCAAAGATATCAGCTGCAGCTTATTGCACCAGGAAAGGCAAAACAACTGAATGTGTTTCACAGCAGCTCTGATGATAAAATGACCTGCCAACATTCCTAGTGCTTTTTTTTATCTCTCAAGCTGCCTGTAAAGTTGCAGTTATTGTTGCTAAACCAGACTTCCTTAATTGAATCTCTGGCATCCGATGACAGGGGAAACAAGTCGTATGTTATTTTTTTAAGTATGCAGTCTTTCAAAAGATTCTTATTGCTTTACCTCCACTGTAAGGAAGGGATAGTCACTTTTTGAATAACAAACATGTGTCAGTAGCATTGAAACAACTAGGAGGAATAATTGTGCATTTGCATTTCAAAATGCCCTATTTAAATTGCATTTGTGTTAAAGAGCAAAAGACCTCTGAGGGCAATTAACACATCAGAGTGCAGGTTTTTCTTTATAAAGGGGTTAATTGCTGTCACTTGTCCCATTAATCAATTTGATTTACAGAAACAAACAATTTAAATAAGCAGATAGTATATTAGAAGCTGGCATCCCAATAGCTAAGAACACAAACGGAAGAAGGCACACTCAAAAAGAATAGATTCAGAGGAAGGGTGAAAGGTGCTTGTAAAATAAAAAGAAAACTTTAGGACCTGTACCTGACTGGAAACATCTCTACCAAAAACAGAACTTTATTCTAAAATAACTTGCTTCTTTGAGCAAAATGTAGTCAATTGCAAGCATGGTTATATTGATCAGATTTAAAATTTAGGACTGGATAATATATTTATATGGAAAACACATTAAAACTTAAAGCCTCCTTCAAAAATTATCAAGCAGATGAGTAAGGAATGGTCTACCTGACAGTGACGCAGTGCACGGATACTCTAAAAAATACTCCTTTCAAAGTGGTAAGAAATTGGTTTACAAAAAGAGAATTGCTGCTTTTCTTCCGGACGTGTAACAAATAGCCCATGAGGACAGTTAGCAAAGAACTTCAAAAGATCAGTTTCTGTGATAACTCCAGCAAACCCACATGGTGAAGCAGAAACAATGAATTCAGCAGGAGGTAAAGGACAACCAAATTCTGTCATGAAAATATGCAAATATTCACCATTTTCTTTTCTTTATAAGGGTGGAGACCGACTATTATCCAAAAACTCTCCACTGACAAGTACCACTGTGATCTAACAGATTTCTTATGATGTGTTCATAACAAGGTGTTTGTAAATGACACCTTGTTTCAGTCTTGTCCATTACTCCAGGCCTTTACTGTCCCCCATATAATGGGCAGGGGAGCTCACTCACAGAGCAGGATCTGGAAGTTTATATAATCAAGTCATCAAAGCAAGCTGTGCACTGTACCACCACTGTGTGGAGTAAGGATGCCAGGGAACTGCAGGTGTAAAAGGGGGTTTTCAGATGGTTTGAAGTCAGAGGAGCCCCCAGGGTAAGTGTTGGTTTCGGGGGGGGGAGGTGGGGGTGTACGGCTGGAGAGAAGTCACCCTACCCGGGCCTCATACTTGACCGCAGCGGAGAGCAGCGCGATAGCGTTCTCCTCGGAGATCCCCCGCTTGATGGTCTCCTGACACAGCCGCTTCAGCCGGGTCTCCCGATAGTATGTAGCCAAGTCTAGCAGCCCTAGAGAAACGACAAAACAGATCTTTAAATCAGAGTTCCCAAGTTCCAGTCTGTTTAAAAAAAAAATCAATAAAAGGCCATTTCTACAGACAAGTATTAGAACCTGCTTGGCAGCCACTAAAGCATAACCATCTTAGGATGTAAATACAAAGCAAAGGTCTCACATATTGAGGGTCTAATAGCCTAAACCGGTTTATGCTAATAATATGGTCCTTAAGGACTGCTTATAATTTTTTCCAGTGTCCAAACTAAGTTGTACAGATGCCAATAAGAGAAGACTGAACAAGTGTAGTAAGTGTTAGTGTAAGTAATTTGTAAAATCTTGTTAAAAACTGTAAATGTTTTAATCAAAAAACCTCAGTCAATACAGAATTAAACTTCTGTGTTGTTCCGCCTAGAAAATAACTTACATTAAGAAAGCCTAATATGGTCTCTTGGCAATAAAGGGATTCTAATCAACACGTTATGGCCCAGGGTATCCGCTTCAACAATATGACTGGGCAGGTTATTCCATATTCCCACAGCTCACTGAGTAAAGAAGTGCCTCCTGTTCTTGGTTTTAAAACACTTTCACATAATTTTGACTTGTGCCTTCTGGTTCGTGTTTAACTGTTAATTCTGAAGTATCATTGTCATTAGCCACACTAAAAACATAAAGCTATTCCTGATAACACCGGATCTGTCTTTATCGTTGTCTGACACTGACACCAGTGAGAAGTGGCCAATTGTTTCCCAGTACATTTCTGCCACTTTAAATGAATATAAGCCAATACCTTGGTTTCCTTCAAGTCACGGCAGGATGAGATCCTCAGATCAATTGGGCTAAACAGACTGGATGGCCTCCTTTCATTTGCAACCTTTCTTATGTTCATTATTAATTTTTGCTTGCTTATTGTATCTAAAGAGACTTACACTCTCTTTAAACACCACAAAAAGGAAGCAAGCCACAACAATTTCACAAACATATGCTTTTTAATAACTGTAGTATACTTGCCAAAACATTTCTGTATCCATTTATTGAAAATGTATGCTTAGAAAAAGGATGCTGCTGTGTATATTCCTCTATATACACTTAAAAAAATAAATAAAATGTGTACAGTATTTGGCAGCCGTGCTGAGAGGAAAAGGAATTTGGCTGCAGCCCGTTCCTTGCACGGAATATTTAGTCGCAGGTGCCATGTTAGGTCACTCTGGCATTTTGCATGGGGAAAATAAATAAAGGAAACTGCCTACTGCACATTTACGTAGGGTAATCCTACAGCTGATCCTTTTCAAACAACTGTAACCCAAAAAAAACATGCACTGTGGGAAAAATGAAATTGGTACACATGTAAATATACCATGGGGAAATGCCTCTACAACAGAAAGCACTGCACTGACTTAAAGTGCTGTTCATTTTCTGTTCACACCCTTGCATGCATTCTGTGACAGACAGTAGTGATGTTAGCACCCTCTGGTGTTTCCCCACATTGGCCATGAGTATGCAATTTTCACTTGACCATTTGTACTTATATAGATAATAATAGATAGATAGTAAAAAGGGCCAATATTCAAATTCATTTATGTACAACATATATATGAAAAATACTGAAAGTGATCTCACTATCAAGAGTTTGTCTATAAGACAGTTTTGCAGATGAACCAGCAACCTCAGCCTTCACTGTTGCTTTACTTACTGGACCGCATACTTGCTTCATTAGCCGACACTTATTAAGCCATCACACAGCACAAGAAAAAAACAGCACGAGCAGTTTGTAAATTGTTGTCCAGAAAGTAAGGTTTAAATCTGATGGCATTAGCTGGAGTCTAAAACTCAATTTATATAGAAATGGGCAGATTAAAAGGATAATATGGGACATTTCTTGTGTCTTATAAAAGCTACGCAAGTCATGTTTATATATCTGGCGGCATTAAGATGCAATAAACTGCCCGTTCAAATAGTCACAGTTTTAATGCTGCCAGGCACATATTTTATATCTGTTGACTAAAGATGACTTAGCCAGCGTCTTTCCTCTCTTCTGTCATTGACATGACCAGAGAGTCAGCCCCTAATAATGTTAGTTGATTTTGCATGGTGCTAGCAGGACATTCATCAAAACATGATATGGAACACAAGCTTGGGATTGATTACACAAGCTGACACACAAGATAGCTACTTATTTAAGAGGCACAGAACTGCCTTGTGCACCCAGACTCAGCTGTTACATTCTGGAGTCTCGTGTAGACATGGCAGGAGTCTGTAGTCTTCCCCCACATGGTAACAGGCTCCTTACCGATGGCATCCTCAGGAGCCAGGTTGATGGAGTCTGTGTAGAGATACTCCAGGAAGGCCCTGTACACCAGGTAGGAGAATTGGTGGATCTCGATGGACTCCTCATCCGTCTCATTGAGCAGCACTCGGAAATGCTCACACCTGAGGCAGAGCCAGCAACAAGGGGTTACAGAAGTGGAAACCTAGGAGCTGACTGGAACAAACTTCATACAGGAAAGGAATAAGCAATTTTTTTAAACAAGCCAGGAGAATTTATACTGTGTTTAAACTAGCTACAACATTGGTATCATTTTTTAAATTATGATTTTACACAACACCTTTCACGTGTCTCTTACTCAGACAACTGAGTCATTAAAAATGCACACAAACAATTGAGATCATGAGGACAATGGTATTACACACTAGACGCACCTTAAATGCCCATGAGAAGGTCTGTTATGTCTTCCTAGAATATAAAATAGACAGCACATGTAGAAGTTTTGGAGTTCTGCCTTTGAAACTTCTCACTGTGGCCGTGCATGTGTATTCCAATATTTCTCTTTCTTAAGACTTTCGGGATTCTAAAATCTCCAAAAGCTTTGGCTTGTTACTGCCAACAAAGAAAATAAAGAATCAAGTTTAAAAGCCTCCAAGGTGGCTGGGGCACTACATAAGATGTTTTGAGACAAAATTATTTTGCTCTGTCAGGAGGATGTAGCAACAAACAGCCTGCCATCTCCGGGAGGAGCCTGAGGGGAAACAGGATCCCAGCAGCCACTTCCTGTCTGTAATTCCCAGGAGAAATGACCTGAAGCAAGCAGCAGGCAGCTCTTGTCAAAAAGACATATACGTGCAAGACTGCCGTTTCAGGCATGACTACACATGTCATGTCTGAGAATACTCAGTTTTTCCTTCAATTTCTGGAACTGTGTGAAATTATTTTTATCAAGTGGGAAAAGATAGTGTACTTAAGAACATATTAGGATAGTGCTGCAATAGTATTTTAAATATTTTGTTATGTTCTGAAAAGTCCACGGTAGATTACCTTGTGAATTGTGAATTGTGAATCTGAGGCCATCAAGTATTTCAATGCGTACAACATTACAGATATGAGTATTTCATCCTGGGTTTTGTCTAGTGTGAATTTATTGGACATATTATTCATGGTAGACAGTATACTGTCAAACTCAACCTCTGTACCTGATTTTGAGTAGAGCTTTGTGAACATGAATGCATTTTCCATCCACCACAAACTTAAGGTCTGAAATTTCGGGGCTGTCAAACTCTTTCTTCAGAGACTGTGCTACGGTCAAGTAGTCGTCTCCCTCTGCAACACACAAGACGAGCAGAGTGTCAGACAACACAACAATAAAAGAGCAGGAAACTACCACTGAAAGCTGTAAAAGATAAGCAATGTCCCCTGATAAACAAATCACTTTGTTGGGTACAGAATGATTTCCTGATTTTATCAGGATGAGTGAAAAGTGAGGAAGGATTTCAAATAGATCAAAGAAATATTGTGTCAGTTTCACTAGCATCATTTTTAACCAAACAACCTAGAGATGCTCAGTACTACTGTAATTGTACTGAATTCAATATATTTGTCTTACTTTAATAACGAAGTATTACAATCCCCATAAGAGGCACTGCAAATTATACCATAAGTGTTAAATTCCTTATCCTGGTTTGACTTTTGACATCTTCATCCAAAGTATTTCTTCTTTATTTTTAGGAGAAACTAAAGGGGTTGTACAACACACGTACAAAGATTGTATCCAAGGTTGAAATCAATTCCAGTTTTTCTGTTCGATGATGCGCAGTTTTCACAAGAGTTTCATATGGAGTGCTATTAGGAACCTAACTAACTTTAAACATGATTTACACAAAGGAGTTGTGTTTTAACTAAGTGCTTAAACAGACTGGGAAAATCAAGCAAGTTAGAACCTGGAAGCACTGGAGCATCCATCTCAAACAATGTTTTATTTAAAAACACGCCACTGTAAATGTGGAATGGGACTCTTTATCTAGCAAAGCAATACAGAAAATAATAACAAGAATAAAACAGAAGCCTGAACTCATCAAAGACGAGACAAAGGAGCAGGAAAGGTGGCCGTACCCACGGCCAGGAGGTGCCAGGTGACAGCAGGCGTTGCGAAGCAAGCGAAGACGTCGTCGGTGCTGGTGAAGTGTGTGAGGTGTGGGCTGGCGATGGCCTGCCCGCGGCACTGGCCCCACATCAGCACCTGCCCACTCTGCGTTTTGGCGGCCGAGGTGTGGGTGGAATGGCAGGCCGCTATTTCCACCATCCTGAGCGTGGAGAGACAGGAAAGGCACAGTCAAGGCACAGACCAAGGCCTGGGACGAGTTACTGTCTAAGTGTGTTTGGAGCAGGGAAAACTGGGATATGAATGGTCACAACTAGAAAAGAAACAACAAAAAAGTACACATGTACATATAAAATCTGAGAGCCATGTCCAGCTTTTATGTGCGGACATTCACATAACATTAATGGGACAGAGAATTACATTTTTCCTGTTGCATGAGCTAATAACACAGTAAACCATCACATTCAGACATGATAAAGCTGCAAAAATGAGGCAGAAACTTATCTTTACTTTTACTTTTCAGAAATAAGCACTGCAAATTCAGCTGATGCGTACTACAATAATTAAGCTATTATTAACTATTAATTAATAAGCTATAATCGTATTACCTTGATATAATAAAAAATCCTATTTTTATTTTCATTTGACTACCCGTCACTATTCACTATGCCATCATAAGGTCAATAATCACTTTAATGTCCTGAAACCTAAATCAACTCTCAATTAAATTGGCCTGGCCACACAATTAGCTCTATCAAACCATGTCCCACCAAACGTAATAATTAGTGAAATCTACCCAATTAAAAATGACTTATTATTACCAATGAAACCCACTGTAAAACGAACATTCATTATTACTACTGTTATTTACTCCAGACTCTTCCAATTGTTTTGGAGGAGAACATGCAAGGAATGAAATGAATCAAAACAGAATTTCGAAAAGTATATAAAAACTTTGCTCATAAGGATCTCCTACAGCTCATTTTCAAACTTCCAGTAGTTTGGGTAACACTGGCCCTTCATTGCCTTCCACTTCAAGACTGCTATTTACAATGAAAGAAAAATATGCATTTTAGGTACACAATGACAAATACCAGATTTCCCCTGTATGTCTTTCAACTTGGAACTGTTTTGCCTCATTCAGTTTAGTGCCTCAACTGAACCTGAGCCGTCAAAGTTTCCGGTTAAGCTTAACTGTAGATTTTGCACAGTGTGTGCTTCACTATTCACAAGCTAAAAAACTGAATGATTCAGTGCAGTGATGTAGTAGCAAGTGCAGTCAAACAGTGGTGCAGCAGTAACTCTTAAATCACAGCAGAAACAAGTGTGTTTACCGTTCTTTGTCCATATTAATCAGTGTTGGACTGGCTTGGTTACTCTTGTTCCCAGTGCCCAGCTGCCCATATGAGTTGGCACCCCAGGCATAGACAAAGCCTTCATCAGTCAGTGCCAAGGTGTGTGCATATCCACAGACAATCTACAGAGAGAATAATGCTGACTATATGTACTGTATTCGCGTGGAGAAGCAAACCATCCTGACTGTTATCATAACAGTGCTTTAAAATTTTTGTTTTCAATGTTTATGAACAACTCTATAAGAATTTGTATAAGCAGTTCTTACACCTGCAGAAAGTTACATCAGACACAATTTCAGCTGAACTAAATAATTTTATATTTTTCAATATTAAAAGACTGTTTTTACTGCCTTCTCAGATCTTCTGAACTTCAACCCGGCAACCATTTACCTGGACAATGTTAATTCCTTGCAGTGCCGCTATCCGACAGGGTGTCTGTTGGTTCCCATTGTTGCCCAGCCCAAGCTGTCCATTGCAGTTGTAACCCCAGCCGTAGGCCTACAAATTCAGAGAAATGGCATTAATGGCTGTATAACACAAAATGGTTCTGGTCCACGAGGTGGTGCAGGAGGGAGAGGGTTTGATTCCACTATGTGGTACGCTGGTCAGTTGTACTGTAAATGAGAGACTGAAGGAAGACTGTGAGACTCTGACAGATAACAGAAACAAGTATTCCTATGTATCATAATATAGGTCACAGACAGTTAGATGTCAAGATGACCAAATACGGGCCCTATCCCCTTAACCGTCTAAGACATCCGGCCTCTGCAGAAATTCAGATGGAGAATAAATGTATATAAGCTTACAACTGTATTCTCTATTCTTGTGCTCTGTAGCTATCATGCTGCATTGTCTGCAAAAATTGTCTGGGTTGTAATTGTTCCAAGTAAAGTTTGGGTATTGGAAGCCAGTTAGCATGCTTCTACTACAGGTGCAGTGAATAAAGTTGAAGATTTTTTCATATTCCTGTGTCCCTAGAGCTATATTCCCCACTACAGGCCAGAGCTCAGCTGAAGACCTAAGGCACATGTTACAACCTTTGCAACACCACTCTTAACATTTAAGGAACAAAGCTATTATTGTGCTACTATCTAACCCACCTGGTCAGAATAAATGAACACACACATAAATCACTCAGACTGTAGCAAACAAGCTTTACGACACACCATCAACCTATACGGGACAGGAAGTTGGTATGGCCATCATGAGAGAAACACAGTAATGCTCCATGTCCTATATTATACAACTGTCACATGTAGGCAAGTTAACAAGTCAGAGCACACCTCTCCATTGTCCAGCACAGCCATGGAACAGAGCTGTCCACAGGCGATATTCACCACCACCTTGTTCTGCAGACAGCTGCTCACTCGGCGTGGCGTAGGCTGGTTCGCTGTGGACCCAGAGCCCACCTGGCCAGAGTTATTGTAGCCCCATGCATAGACCTGCAGAAACCAGCGGACATTTTGGCTCCGTGAAGCAATGATTCTATAACTTTTATAATTCCCACTATATAAAGGCGGTGTATAAAAATGCAAACTGGTTGAGCGACAGGTTGAGTCAGTAAACCCATTTAGATGCCTTATGGCCAGAAGGCATGATTGTTAAGCAAAGGAAAAGTGATTTTCTGATTTTTCCCTTTTCAGATGTTGAAACTTCTCACATGTTGAATCCACAGCTAGGGACGCAGCTACTGTAAGCTGATTTACTGTCAAGAGAGCTTGCAGTAAATGTCCACCAATTCAATTAAACTGATTATATTAGGTAGGAGGTTTAGAAAAAGTAATTTACAAAGTCCTGTTAAGAAACTGAAAGTCAAATGTCAATAAACATCGTACTGCCAATTGACTCGGCAATCTCCAGCAGTTCCTACCTCCCCCTCAGAGGTCAGGGCGATGGTGTGATGAGAGCCACAGGCGACCTCTGTCACCTTCTTGTTGAGAAGGTTGGTGGAGACTTGGGCAGGAGTCAGGCCCTGGTTCGTAGTGCCATTTCCCAGCTGGCTGTATCCATTGTGTCCCCAAGCAAATACATCCCCATCTGCACAGCATACAGTACAAAGACAATAAACATACTGTAACTGACAAACTACTCCATGCCATTAGGAGAATTAATTCCAGCACAAACAGGCATATAGCTCCCAACCTAACTGATACAAACAGCTCCTCTTCTATTCTTCAAAGCTGAGCTACACAACAATCTACAGACAAAATCTATAATGATGATTTCACAGATTGCGTGCTTATAATGATTTTAAACACATTTATATTGTTTCCCTAATGATCCTACATGACATCTCAACCTTAGTAGAAATGGTTGGTGTCAACATAATGTTCTATTTATTGTACCAGACCATTCTCTTACCTAGTAACCAAAACAGACAAATTAATCAAACAAGTATTACTATCTTAATGAAGAATCTCGGCTACATAAAGTTTCAGAATTCAAAACCTGTAACCCGATTATGGTAATGATTTTCAATGAGACAACGTGGGAAACGTAATAACCTGAAAAATGACAAATAGTATACAAGTTACAGTAATACAGAAATGGAGACTTTCTATTACATTTCCCAGTATTAAAGCTGGGAATATCACGCTCAGTTAGCACAGATGACTAAGTTGAAAACCTCAGTGTCCAGACAGCTGCTGTTTCAATTAATTTACTGATGACTAATCTGACCATGAAGAAAAGAGGAACCACACACCCTAAGCACTTCTGCTCCACTAGTCAGGGATCTGACTTCATGACTTAAAAGAACAGAGAACTTCTCCCTGAAGTTAAAGCACAACAAATGAAGTCTGTTCATTTGCACACCTTACACATATAGGAAGTAACTTTATTTTCTCTGGCACTGTGTCCAATTATGAATTATAAATCTATAAGATACACATTAAAAATTCTTCACCTAATAAGCGTTTCTCAAGTCTGGCAAGATATACTTATAAATGTTTTCTAATTTAAGAATAAAATATGGATGTAAAAAACTAACTTTTAAGAACAAATTGATTTTAAACATTTAACAATTTTTGTTCATGTCTGTTAGCAATGCAATGAAGAAAAATGTGAAAGTGGAACACTCACAGTTAACAATGTGAGTAGAATCATTTACATTAAAAAGCTAAGAACGTGCTCCAGCAGTTATCTTCCCAGAATCCCTGCTCACCCAAAATACAGTGCTGGAATTAGTTTTATGCTATTTCTCTATTTCTGCTTGCTGTGAAATATACTGTAGAACTTAATAATTTTAGGTGACAAATATCCTGAATAATTTCAAACACTCACCAAACTAGTAAATAATTAAAAGAGCAATGTCATCTTTAAAAAAACATACTCATCTTTTTATTGTAATGCATTGCTTTAGAATGTTTTTAACATAAAATATTCATAATATCTGAATTTATATTATTTTTAAAGCCAATATACCACCTACAGTTAATGACATATAATAAAAAGTCAATAATTCCTTGGAATTAACAGAAAAGTATGTGTTACGATGTAGTTAATGTTATAACTGCTGTTTTTTGAGCAGTTAAGCAAGACTTAATTTTGTTGAAAAAAAAGATCAAACAACAAAAAAACTTCCTATAACTGTAACATTAACTTTCATTTTTATAGTGTTTCTGGGTATTTACCAATGGGAAGAGATGTGCTGGGCTGCACAGTGGCTCAGTGGTTAGCACTGCTGCCTCATAGTTCTGGGGCTCTTTAATTAATTCAGGACCCTGGGTGCTATCTGTGTGGAGTTTGTACGTTTTCCCAATGTTCACATTTTCATGACTTAGGTACTCTGGTTTCCTGCCGCACTCCAAAGACATACTGGTAGGTTAACTGGCTTATGACATATGGCACATGGCGTGTGTGCCCTACAATTGACTGGCATCCCATCCAAGGTTTATCCAGCCTTGCCCCCATTGCTTGTTGGGATAGGCTCCTGCTCCCCTATGACCCTGAATTGGATGAAGCGGTTAGAAAATGAAAAGAGAAGGTGTGCTAGACTGACTCGACAGTGTAAGAGGCTTAGCTAATTGGCTTAGTAACATCTAGTGCACTGACTACAATGCCAGCCACTCTAACGAATAATGTTTTGTGGTCTTATTATAATTTTAAATAGAGATCAATCAAAACTGAACACCCCTGAAGACCCCACGACACAAACGAAGCAAAAGCTGATGGACATGGAGAATAAACCACACTATACAGTACGTGTGATACTGTTACGGTGTTTTTTGGGGGAAATTTCACACTGCAGTTGTACCCCCATCCCACCCTTTCATATTCAGAACCACGCATGAGCAGCTCTAACATACCATGTCTGGCACAGCATCATGCACAAAAAGCTGCAGATACAAACAATCTGGAAGCCTAACCTTGTGACTCATTCACAGTCTGATATAAATAGACGAACGGAACAAATGCAGCGATACAAATGCAGAACACTGCTATTTTCTACAGCTATAGGAACTGTTCAATCCTATTATATTTGAATGTGCCAGCCAGTAAATGTATTTCCACACAAACAGAAGGTTTGTGTACAATGAGTATATTTTAACTCAATAAATATGTATGTATACGGGCAATCGCGTACATCTTCCTTCAACAAATTAATCAATTTCATATTTTTTTTAAACTACGTTATCTGCATAGCATCCATTTAGCAAGAAAGCCATCAAAATTAGTGGATGTGATGTTATTAAGCATGAATATGGATATGGAAAAAGTCTATGAGATTGCAGGGCGGGTGGGAATTCTAGTGGCAACTTTTGATCACACAAAAAACATTTGTGTGCCGCAGACTGAAATCTACTGCTCTGATCCCTCACCTGCTGTGGCAATGACCACATGAGGTCCTGTTCCATAACTCAGGGACACTATCTTCTTCCCACACAGAGCCTCTATGCGTCTGGGTTCGATGGTACTCTGAATATCACCAAGTCCCAGACAGCCACTGCAGTTGGTCCCAAGGGCGAAAACCTGCCAAAATTGAAAATGGAAACTCATACTGAGCAAATGTAACTCAAAAAATGAACCTGGAAGAAATAAACAGATTCACCATATATGTTTCTCTTTTTATCTCACCTCTTTAAATTAATTAATTAATACATCTAGTGCCAAGAAAACCATTTGTCAACTCCCATAGGCTGGCCCCTATTCTTGTACTGTATATTTTAAACTTAAAAGGTAATAAGATCTTCACGAAAGTCTAAAGTAAAGATGACAATAACCTGATTCAATGTACAGCCTAAAGACTTAAACTATATGTTAATTATTTAACAAAAAATTATCAACAGTAAGCATCCTCGGGTAAATATAAGATTCAATAATAAGTGGCACCTCTCTGAGCAGCAATGACTTCAATTAGACATTTCGTGCCAGAGTGCATCATTCTCTTGCATTAGCCTTCATGAATTTTTGCCCATCCTTCCTTACAGAAGCACTACAGGTCCATGACATTTCTGGGTTTCCTTGTATTAAAGAGCTCACTTCAGATCCTGCCATACCACTTCACTGAGGTTTAGGTCTTTTTATAAACCAACTTGGCCAATCCAACCTGTGAAATTTCTTCTTCTTCAGCCGCTCTGTTGTAGATCTGATTGATTGTTCAGGAATATTGTCTTGCTGAATGATCAGATCAGCTTAGCTTCAGCTGAAGAACGGATGGCCTGACATTCGCCTCCAAAATGTGAAGGTACAATGCTAAATTCCTGGATATCCTACAATGAAAACTATTCTTGTTCTTTCATACCTGAAAACTGAGGTATGAAAATTTCCTGAATAAATTTCCTGAATAAATTTTCAGGTTGCTCCTGGAAGGATGACACATCTTTGGTAAAGTCTTGAATATGTTTGATTTATAGACTATCTGACAGTGGACGGATGGAACCCCAGATGTTTAGAGATGGTTTTATTACCCTCTGCAGACTGATTAGCACCAAATACCCTTTTTCTGAGGACTTCTGAGATGTATTTTGATTGTGGCATGAGATATTTCCACTAACCTGCACAGTAAAGACCAATTTCACATAGGTAGTATGGTAGGAAAGTGCTGCCCAAATAAAGTCCATGTTTACTCAATTTTTTTAACCACCTGATTCTAATTACCCCCTTTATTTTGCTAAGTAGGGATTTGTTTATTATTCCACATTCACTGTTTTATTATTTTCTACTTCATACATCATTGCATCTCAAAATTATTGAACTGGTAAATATAAAGTATTTTACTTAAGAAAAATGTTTCAATTAAATTAGGATATCATGGTAAGAAACCACAATTCCCATTACTATATTGGGGTTCACAAACATTGTCTCACAACATAGGGCTGTAGCTATACAACCCCTGCAACTGCCTGTCAAAACTAGTACACAAAATTATGCATTTCATTTCACACTCAGCCTAAAGCAGAAATGGCAGAATTAGAGAAACTGGCACACCAGGAGCTATCAGTTGCTCAACCACTGTGAGTTCAATCTGCCCTATCTTGGTGGCGCTCAGCCATTTAGACGTTACACGTTGAGAGTTCTCAACCAGTCAGCTAGGGGCAAAGTCTAGATAAAATCCTAAATAAATCTGAACTGAGCAGCAATCTTCCAAAAAGGCACAAGTGCTTAATTGGTTAAATATGACTTTGTCCCCCTTAAGATGAACAAACCAACATGATAAAGTGACAGTGCAGAAAAGGGAAGCCGCATAGTACAAGCAAACACTTAAGATGCACAAACAATCATCCTTAGTTAAACTAGCAATCTTCAAGCAATACAAAACATCCTACATTACAAGGAGAGGTTCTTACCAAATTAAATGTATGTACAACTTTCAGTACAACCACAGTTTCGCCATCAGAGATCATTAGCATAAATTGAAGACTTTTGTCTAAAGTATTCCAGTTCACTTCAGTCACTGATATAAATCTTTGTTGCCTGGTTTTTATGTTCAATAAATAAAGTTTATGGTTTCGTTTTAAAATGAGCTTGAATAGATATGCCAAAGTACTTAATAGCTGTGAAGTAAGGTAAATTGAGTAAATGTTTTACTATTTTCCCCGAAATTATTAGTTGAAAATACAATCAAACCAACATTCTGTTGGTCCAGTCTGTCTGGCCTGAAACTCTCTTCTAGATAAAAAGGTGTTTGCAGTGGAATTACCGGCCTAAATATAGAAGCTCTCTATCTGCTTAGCCTCACTGTGAAACTCCATGCCAGGTACTGCTGGAGAGGCTCTACCCACCCAGCGCTCTGAACTGAAAACACAGCTGTTCTCTTTGGTGTTCTTAAAACCTGCCCCTGCTTACTATGGGGACATTTCTTCTTTCCTCTTGGATCACAACACAAAAGCACGTGGGGTTGGGTGTGGAACATAAAAATATTACATCTGTTATAAATAAATATGTGGGTTCAATTCCTATTTGTGTGATTTACAGTAATTCGAGTGACAGGTGTATAAAATGTATTATTTTGTAATTTGTTCAGTCAACACCTTTGTTACTTTAGGCCACAAGACCTTTAACCCCAGAAGCATAAGGGAAGACATTTATTATATCACAGGAGAAAACCTCCATATGGCATTACTGTCTCACTATCGATTATTACTGTCTTACTTGCTATCTTACTATAGTCCACATGCTCACCTCATCATTGACGGTAACATACAGAGCCTCGTTCCCAGCACTGCCGTATACACAGGCCTGTCGAATCAGACGCAGCTCCTCAGGGGGAAGAAGAGCAAACACTGGCCACTTCCCCACATCCAGCATGATCAGGAAACTTTGACACGGGGCTGTATCACCTGAGGCAAAGCACACACAGCAGAAAAGGTATAAGATAAGACTGCGTGCTCAAGGTGCCCATTGTACTCCAATGTATTTCTGTTGAAGTTAAATTCAGGCCTAGATGATTTTAAACACAAATTAATTATTCTAGTTATATGAATTGCTGCATCTGTAAAGCTCTTTCGATCCCAAAGGATCCCAAAGTGCTTGACAAATTAATGGAGACCCCTTTCAACCAACACTTAAGTAAGGTATCCACTTAAGTGACAATGTCAACTGATCTTTAAACACTTTTGTTTAACATCTTATCCAAAGGATGGTACCTCCTACATACACCATAATGTTCCTTGATATCACACTAGAGCATTGGTTTCGAAATTTCATTTAGTTTGTGATGCAGACAGAAGAGTGCCAGCTTATAGACTATCAACTTCATCAACCTTTCCTTGGAGATCTCCCTTCCCAAAACTGACCAGCCCAACTGTGTGTAGCTTCTAATATATGACCAAATTAGACTACACAGTGGTAATTCTGCTGTCAAACTCTCCAGTGAGAGTGAAGTTACTGACAAACTGCCACAATGTAGAGAGCTACTTTTCTTGTTTCAAATCTTCTTAGCCTTTAAAATCAGATGACAAGGTGGTAATTATTGTAAGCAAATTTCCCAAATGATGTAACAAGCTTCATCCAGACCTGATGGTGGCCTATACAAGTTCTAAAAGATTAAAAGGATTCAACTGCTGTGGAAAGGGAGTGCTTTATTTGTTCACCTCGTATATACACATCTATCTGTGTGAGCTTTTATTTTTAAAGCCAAAAACAACCCAAAATGTGCAAGTCCCAGATCTTTTTTTGATTGTTCTAATAAAAGAAGTCACCTGCACTTTTCTATTACTCGAGTTCTTACTCCTGTTGTTATATGTACATGTTCTATGAATGGTGGGATCAGTGGTTAGGTTCCTGGATTCATAACTGGAATGTTGTACCTTTGAGCAACATACTTCATCCGAATTGCTCCTATACAGTGCCAGAAACAGATGCAAAGGTAAGTCACCTTGGAAACTAATGTAGATTGACTAAACTCTGAATGGTGTGAGTAGACATTTATACAGTGCCTTGAAAAAGTATTCAGCCCCCATCATTTTTCACATCTTGTTACTGCAGATTCTGAATTTCGAATAGTAGGATATTTTAGCACTGATCCACAAAGTCTTGAGGACCATATTCTGTCAAAACAAAATAAATGTTCCAAAACCTTTTCACAATTTACTAAAATAACTGCTAGCTCAAATGTGCACAGGTGCAATTCATTACCTCAAAAGCCACACAATGTGTTGATTTGTTGACTCCACCTGTGTAAGAAATTAGTGAATCTCCCACTGTCAATTCTTTTGTAAATATAAATATCACTCTCTGTGAGGAATTATTGCATGGTACAGCCTTTCCAAATAAAAAAAGATTTAAAATGAAGACGAAAGTGCATTCCAAACAACTCAGAGATATGATTATAGAGAGGCACAAATCTGGAGAATGGTACAAGACTATTGCCAAGACTTTGAGCATCCCTCAGTGCAGTCCATTGTACAGAAGTGGAAGAAGCATTATACTATAGCCACACTGCCTAGACCAGGCCGTCTCCCTAAACTTAGCCCCCAGACAATAAGGGGGCTTATCAGAAAAGCTACTGCAAGGCCAACTGTGACACTGAATGAGCTCAGTAGCTGTGATGGAAGATAAAGTACATACCGTAGCTCAACATTCCATGGGTCCAACATGTTCTACAAAAAGGGCCTTTATGGGAGGGTTACAAGTAAGAAGCCCTAGTTGGAAAAAAAACATATCCTTGCCCACAAAGAGTTTGCAAAACGCCATGTAGAAGATACTCCAGAAAGTTTTATGGTCCGATGAGACTAAAATGGAACTTTTTGGCCTGAATGCTAAGTAGTATGTATGGCATCAATCAAACACTGCAAACTAACCAGGTAAAATCCTTTCCACCGTGAAGTCTGGTGGTGGTAGCATCATGTTATGGAGATGCTTTTAAGCGGCAGGGACTGGCAATCTTGTCAGGATCGACGGTAAGATGAATGGTGCACATTACAGACAAAATCCTGGACAAAAATTTGCTACCCTTGGCCAAAATGTTCAAACTAAAGAGGGAATGTATCTTTCAACAGGACTATGATCCAAAGCACATTGTAAGAGCAACACTGGAGTGGAAACAGATGTCCCTGAGTGGCCCACTTAGAGACCTTAATCCCACCAAAAATCTGTGGCAAAACTTCAAACTTGCTGTCCATGGCTGCTCCCTAAATAACCTGACCTAGCTTGAACAATTTTGCAAGGAGAAATAGGAACATATTGCTCCATCTCGGTGTGCAAAGTTTTAATAGAGACTTATCCAAAAATAATAGCTGCTAGAGGTTGTTCAACTACGTATTGACCAAGGGGGGTGAATACTTATTAAATTATGATATTTCAGGTTTTTATTTTTAATTGATTTATGGTTTACTATTATCTTTGTTTTGGGGGTGGGGGCTCTGTGAAAGTGTGATTAAAAAATTAAAATTCCAGCCTATGAGATTCTTCGGTTTTTTAAAATGGAAATTAACTGTAACATTAGTCTTGAACCCCCTTAAACAGCAATTTTGGGTTTATTCAAGAATGGGAGGGGGCCTTTTCCGTTATACTGCACGTATATGTCAAACAGGCAACAGAATGAACCAAGCGCACCGTATCACATATGGCGAAACAAGATCACCCAATAAACCTAGATATCCCAAACTGTATTTTAGGCCTGCTGCATTGTTGAATGTGTTTGTGGAAACAGAAAATAAAATAGCCGACTATTACTATTAGTATCACTAGAGAGAAAAGTCAAATAGAAAATACTATATAAAAAACACTACTACTGCTTAATTTATTGTGCACAATAAATATCAATCATTGTACGTCTTAACTAAAAGCAAACTTTAACTGGTCTCTGTTAAAATATCTTTGAAAAAAGGGGAACTAACAAGCAAAAAAACTAGCTTGACACGATAAAGATGTTCACTTTCGTTACTTTGTGTTTAAGGCGCAACAATAACTCGGTTTATCTCGCAGTCTTTATTCTGAGACCGCTGAAGTACTGCAAAGAATGAACATTTCTTTCAATGCGTCCTGTATGTTCTCTAAACCTAACCACGTAGTGTTGACATTACATTACAAATTAAGGATTGCATAAGTCAATAATATTGCATTGTACTAATCACCAGAATCACACAAAAAAATAAAAAACTTACCATGAATGATATCAGTTAAAAGTTGGCAGAGCTCTGTATTCTTTCCATGCAACGACTTGGTATTGCATTCCGAGTCCCTGCATTTTTATTTTTTTTTAAACGAAACCAGAGTCTTGTAAAATATAGCAAGAATTCTCCCTCCTTAAATTTTCATATTGTGCGACAATAGGTTTCCTGGCCCTTACAGACCGACGAAGGATCATCGAGCTCATGGATTCATCGAGAGAATAGGATTTCCTCTCAGCCGTGGTTAGCAGCCTGACTCAGGCTGTCTAGATTTGCAAGCGCAGACAATGTGTTTTTTTTTAGCGTAGCGGCAAGAGGAGTGGTTAAGTCTAGGTGATTTATATGGTGTGTACAAATGCCGGAAAGGTAGTACTGATGTTTTACCGTTGAGCTAGGCAATTCACCCACTTTGCTACAAAAAAACCCAGCTGTAAAATTTTCTAAAAATGCATATACAAATGCATAAAAGCGTCAGCTAATTAATCATAACGTTTCCTATTGCTATCTCGTATTTTTGTTTCCAGCAATTCCTACGCATGGACTGTATTGCTTTTATTTTCGCATCATGGCGTGCAACAGACAATGACATAGTAATTTTCTTTTTATTTCTTATTTTCAGGTTAACACCATCACGATCTCAATTAAAAATGTGTACCAAATAATAAATAATAATAATACCAAAGCTATTACAGGAACGATATCGACACGTGAACTTTGCAAGACCTAAGAGAAAAAAAAAACGTATTTGGGGTACAGGATAGTTTCTGTATCTCCTCAAAATCCAGGATGCTTATATCGAGAATTAGGACATATTGAGCTATGACTTATGTTAAGATATTTGATGCCATTTTGAAAAGTTCTAACTGAAAGCTTTAAAGAAAGACATCTATATTTGTTTATGAAGATTCAATTAAAAATAATTGCAAGACTGAGCTTCTTTAAGTGTTCTTTAAGTGTGTGAAGTTTTAAATTACACCGTCATTTATGAGCCTGGTTAAATTCGGAGTAGTTTCAGATCGCTATGCATGTCACTGTTATTGAACTTGGTGAAAGGGCATTACAATAAAATGTGAAGATCATAAGAAATGTTTCAAACAGGAGCAAGTCGTTTAGCCCATCAAGCCCATCTGGTAGTTGGCAGTTAATTAATGAAAGGATCTCATCCAGCAATTTCTTGAAAGAAGCTAGGGTATCAGGTTCAACAACATGACTAGGTACTGTAGGTTTTTCCCCCATACTTCAACAGTCCTTGTGGTAAGGACGTGTCTCCTGCTCTCAGTTTTAAATACACATTCGTATAGTTTCCACTTGGGCCGGTTGGTTTGTGTTTCTGTGTTCATTCTGAAGAAATCAGCTGTGGTGACTTTGTCCCCTTATAATGTTCTCAGTGCAAGACTAAAAAATGCTCAGTTCCTTCAGCCTGCCAGCGTAGGACGTTGCCTTCAGCCCTGATATGTATCTAGTTGCTATTGTAGCATTCTCGGGTTCACGTGGGTATACGCCCTCGCCGCTGTGGACTCAAACCCGGGCCCCTGGCGTCACTCAACAGGGACCCAGCCAGTTCAGGGAAACGTCCCGTCAGCCCGGCGGCTGCGGTCCCTGCTATTCACAGTGAAGGGCGGTGACGTCACGGCGCTGCTAAACCGGCTCGCACAATCTGCAATGTCCGCCGTATGCGTTACATTATTATTATTATATATTATTCCAGAGCAGCAATATCTGTTCTACTATAGTAACCAAAGCTTTGCCAATATTCTAAATGAGGCCTTAGTTTTATACTAATGATTTATTTCATTTTAGGGAAATATCCCCTGTTTAAATTCAGTGCTTTTTACTATACAATCTGGTATTTTGCTTACCTTTTTAAGTGCTTTCCCACATTGTCTACTGGATGTAAATGATGTACTGTATCAACATCAACACCTAAATCGTTTTCATAAGTGGCCTGTTCTCACTCAGCATTTTCAGTTTAATATTTTTAGTATATGTTTTCACCACCTGATTGCAAAACTTTAAAAAAAAGCTTTACAGTCAAATCTGGCAGGTGTTTTCCCAGCCTTAAATTTTACCTGAATCTTTTGGAATTTTTTGCTTCAGCGGTATTTGCTAATCCTCTTTATTTGCTATCACCTACAAACTTGACTAGTCTCTTAAATAAACCAGAATCTAGATCATTTGTAAAAACCAAGAAGAGAGCACTGATCCCTGTAGTACTCCACTAACTACCTCACCCCAACTTGGTTATTCACCCCTTATCTGTGTCCTCTGTTTTCCATCTAATAACAAATAATCCAAACACTCTTATTTCCCCTGAATACCTACCATCTGCAATTTGAGCATTAAATCTTGACGTGGTTAATCTAATGAGACTTCTATCTGAATAAGCCCTAAATTGGGGTTAGCTTTGCTCTCGAATTAAACTTCCAATAATATTTCACATTATTCACAAAACCTTAATTCGTTTTAATGATAACTTTTTTACAGGCCAATATATGATATATTATGTATGATATGCTTATCAATGACAGTTTTTCCAAAGAATGTTGAATTAAGAATAAGAAACAGAACCAGAAATCAAAAGCTAAGCAAACTTATAAAGTGATTGTTAACCTGATTACTACAGAACCTTTAACAATTATTAAGTTCAATTAATTTTTTTTATTTCTGATTATGTTTCCTTCTCGTTAATTAAATGTTTCTCCACTTCTTTGGGTTTGTGTTAAAACTGAGAATAGAAAGGAGAAATTGTCAGTGATTAGCCAAAAATTTAACATACAGTATCAACAATATCGGCCTGTGAATAAAAAGCAGATGTATGACAAGTTTTGTATCAAAACTATTTCTAAGTTTTTGTGAAATGTTTTTAGACGTTTAACCTTTGGTGAAATTACTACTGACTGCACTGTATAAATTGTATGTTAAATACTGATCTGCCAAAACAACAGAATATACAACTATGTTACTATTAAAACCTCCTTTAAGAGCTTGTGAGATATGTGAAAAACACTTATTGGAAGTGTAATTCAAGCAGAAATCCAACTCTAACCCTTGGCTTATTGTCCTAGGAATCTTTCCAGAATAAAGGTTTACACTAAGATCAGAGTAACAGTTACCATATAAAACTAATTATATTTCAAGATTTGTCTGCATTTCCAACTTGTTAATCATGCTTATGTCTCCTGTAGTTTGGATTTATGTAAAACTTGAACATGTTTATATGATTTGGAGAATTTGCTATTGATGGGTATAATATAAATACAGCTCATAGCACATTTTACTGATGATTCCTCCTCGTTATTGATGTCATTAACAATATTAATCCTAAACAGAGCTGTTAGACTCCCCCCCTCTGGCTGTTTTCCACCAGTCGATTATTTAATTAACCAATGCACCAATCAAGCTCCCAAGACACTCTCTATACCCAGTAAACACAGGTCTAACCTCACCCAAAGAGAAATTCAGGCGCTCCAGTCTCACCATAACCCGGATGATATCGTCATCAAACCAGCAGACAAAGGAGGCGCTGTTTTGGTGTGGCGTTTGGTGTAGCACACCGAAGGGTATATAGATCAGAGTAAAGCAAAATGTTACAGTCCCAGCATCCCGCCACCAGAGGGCACCTCAACCTCTGGTGCCTACCTCATCCATTCAGAAGAGGCGTAGATCAAGCAGACAGCATTAATCAATCCCAGTTTGCCTAGTATCTTTACATCACTATACCTCCCCTCCCCGTGCCTACTTAAACCCTGCTCTTGGTCCAGACTTTTCTCAGTATTGTTTACAACCTTTTGAGCTCTTCTTCTCATCCTCTGCTGTTCTCACCCTGGACTTCTTGCTGGTTTTCTGGATTTTGGCCTGTCTCTTGACCTTGATTTTTGGATCGTGTCTTTGGTGCTTTATACATAGTCTCCTGTTTTTTTTTTTGATCTTCGCTCGCCTATATACTTTGGCCCTGGAGTATTCCAATTTGACTGGATTCAGATTTCTTTCTAATCTTATTCCCTGCATAGTGTCCATTTTGTGCCTTCTGAGCTGGTGACCAGCCTAACAGAAAACAGATTACAGAAAGGAATGTGAAATTGGGATGATATAAAACTGAAACAAAAGAACAGTGTTAGGACCCAAGCTGCATAAGACCCAGAAAAACATATCATAGCCCTTAGCTGGAGGAGACTGAATGCAACTGATGAAACTTCACAAAAATCTCTCAGCCAACACCTTAGGAATTGACATGACTAGAAATGTGTCACAGCTGCTAGGATTTGACTGAATTAACTGAACAGCAGAAATAAAACAAAATTAAACACAATGATCGCAAAATCAAAATGTCTCTTCCCATGTTCATAACTAATCAGCCTCATACAATTAAATTTTTTTTAGTAAGCAACATGATCATATAACCTGAAACAATGTTCCTGACACCCACACTGTATATATACAGTATATGGTTGAAATTGTGGATTAGAACTATTTGCTGTGTATTTGTGTATTATCAAATAAATAGCAAAGGTATTTTACTCTCTATCCATAAGGCCAAGCAGGATCTAATTTGTCAATGCTTCTGGTTTTAGAAATGACTAAATAGCTGTTAGATGTTATATGTATGCCATTCCTGAAATATTCCTTTCTGAGTGGTCCTCTTGAGAAGAAAAAAATAGTCACAAATTAGTGGCCTAATCCATTAATATATTAGATGTCCTTATAACTTTTCAAGCAGGTTACTGTTGTTTACGTTCTATATTTGGATTGCCAAACCTCCATAGCAATATTTTCTCATTATAAGCTTGTACTGTTTATTTTAGACCTGTGTCTGGTTTCTGCTGCAAAGAAACAGCATAATCTGTCTACTGGCTGGATAACCTGCTTATTGTCAGAGTAATTTACTGAGAACATACTGAAGGCTTCCTAATAAGGTTTTGCTTGTTCTTTATTACAGAACACATGGTATAGAAAAACCAATGCTGTTTACATTCAAGTGTAGCTATATCAGAAATACTCCTGACCCCGGTACAGCAACAGGTCTTTCTTTCTATTGCAGGGTATTATACATCAATTTATCTATATCATTTGTCCATTCAATCACAGTGTTTAGGCACTAGAAATAATAACAATGATACTGACAGGGCTCACTCCAGAACCAGGATTGAATGTCAGAAATTTAGATTAGCCAAAAAGTTGCATTGTGAGAGTTAGCTAACCATCAAATATCTAATTCCAACAAATAATCCAATTTGATTAATGCCTGTTTATTTCATTTTCATTTTTAATCCATGTA